GGGAGCAGACGCGTCGGCCCGTCTGCTCACCCCCCCCCCCGCCCGACCTCTTCCGAGAGACCGAGAGACAGTCGGCGCACCATGGGCAGGGGCTGAAAAACTTCTTCAGACGCGTACCTCCGCCTAGTGTGGCCGGCGCCCTAGCTAGCCCTATTTTCGCCATTTTCGATTCCCCTACTCTCGCCACTTCCTGAGGGTAGCCCGCGTCTCCCTGGCCCCCTCCTCCACCACCCACCCTCCCTTTGGGTTCCCCACCCCCCTTTGAGCCGTACATGCCCCCTCTTTCGCCCTCCCCTCCTCCTCTTCCTCCTCTTCTCCCCTCTCCCCCTCCCCCCCCCGACCCATGCCCTTTCTTGCCCCAGCTCGTTTCTACATACACGCACGCGAGCCCAGTTGCTTGTGCTTTCTCCCCCCCCCCCCCTCCTCCTCATTCTCCCCGGGGTGGCATGTTCCTCCCTTCGAGACCTCCCCGGCCGAGGGATAGGTTCCTGCTCTCCGCGCGCTCCCCCCTCCTCACCGAGGACGGGGCGCTGCCCAACTTCCCCAAAGTCGGGTATACATGGGCTCAAACTGCGCTTGGCGCTCTCCCCATGGGGCGGTGTCCCTCTCCATGTCCCGGTATGTTTTTCGGACTTCCCCCCCCCCCCGCCGTGCCTCACACACTTCTGGTGCCCTTCTCTCCCCCCGGCCTCCGCTCACAAAGTGCCTCCCATCCCCCTATGCCCGCCATTCTCTAACAACCGCCCATGTGTGCTCCTCTCTCCCCCCTCCCGTTTGCCTTCTCTCCTTCCATTCCCCAAATCTCGCCGCCAGCTTGTAAAAACCCTCCACAAGCAAGAGACACCCATTGGCCGGGACACCTCCCTCCCTGACGAGGGCGGAGACGCTCGCCTCGCGCGCATTCCCCTCCTCTCAAGTTCCCCCTCCCCCTTCCCGCCTCTTTGCCTGGAAAGCCAGCTATCCTCCCGTGCTGCTGTTGCCTCCTCTAACACCCCTCCCCCCCCTTTGCTTCACTATGACCCACATCCCCTTCACCATTCCCTCATCATCCTCTGCCTCCCTGCCTTCCTCTCTCTCTCTCTTCCAGTTTCCCCCCAGTCTCCCCCCCATCAACGCAATCATGGCTGATATCAGGCGAAAGCTGGTCATCGTTGGCGATGGTGCCTGCGGTAAGACTTGTCTTCTGATCATGTTCTCCAAGAAGCAGTTCCCCGAGGTGCGCGCGGACGCCCGTTTCATTTCCCTTCCTTTCAGTCCCCCCCCCCCGGAGAATGCCCTGTGCCAGTGTTCCTCCCTCTTCTTCTCACCGCCTTTCATGTCTCCCGCTTGTCCTCATCGCCACGCAGATTTACGTGCCCACCGTCTTCGAGAACTACGTTGCCGACGTCACTGTTGACGGCAAGCGCGTTGAGCTCGCCCTCTGGGATACCGCCGGTTCGTGACCCATTCTGCTCCGCCCCGCCTCTCCTTCTCTCGCTCCCCCCCGTCGTAGCACTCACCCCTTCCCACAGGCCAGGAGGACTACGATCGTCTGCGTCCCCTTTCCTACCCCGACTCCCATGTCATCCTCGTCTGCTTCGCCATCAACAACCCCGACTCGCTCGAGAACGTCCAGGAGAAGGTACGCCCCTTGCCCCTTCCTCCTCCACTGGCTTCTTGCACACACCCTCGCGGGACAAGCACCGCAATCGCCTGAGAGGCTTCCACCTCTTGGCTCTGCCCTGCTTTTTTCCTCCACGCCCATGCACGCTTCTTGTGCACTTTGGCTGACAGAGCCCACTCGCCCCCCTTTCCTCCCTCTCTCTTTCTCTCCGTCTCCGCCCCCTCAACAGTGGATTTCCGAGATCCAGCACTTCTGCAATGGTCTCCCCGTCATCCTGGTCGGTCTGAAGAAGGATCTCCGTGACGACCCGGACACCATCACCGAGCTGGCCCGCAACAAGCAGGCCCCCATCACCACCGAGCAGGTTCGTCTTCCCGCCTTGCTTCCTCCCTTTCGCGGACTCCTGCCTCCCCTCCCAATGCTGACCCTTCTTTCGTCCATCTTTCCTCCCCCCCCCACCCCTGGGGTGGTGTGATACTGATCGAAATAATCACACACCCACGCCCCCCCTCCCTCCCCCAGGGCCGCGCTGTTGCCAGCACCCTGAACCAGGTCAGCGAGTACCTTGAGTGCAGTGCCAAGACCGGGGAGGGTGTCAACGAGGTCTTCGAGTCGGCCACCCGCGCCGCCCTCCAGACCCGCACCCGCAGGCGCACCAACCGCTGCCTGCTCTTCTAGGCAGATAGAGTGAGCCATATGCGCGCCTCTCTTCCTCTCTCCCCTCCTCCTCCTCCTCCTCCTTTCTCCCCTCCTTCCTCTCGCGTGGCGTCTCCCCCTTCCCGTGTGTGCGTGTGTGCCTGAGTGTCTACTCTGGTTGCCACTTCGCCACCCTCCCCCCTCCTCTCGCATGTCTCCCTCCCCCCTTCTCCAAGAGAGACAGCTGGGACCATGGGCGGGGCTGTGAGGGGCGGGGGGAGCGGGGGAGCGGGGCCTCATCAAGGCGGCCGCGCTGAGGGGGAGGGGGAGTAAAGACACCGGCGAAGGGGGAGGGGGCGCGGCCGGCCGCGCGTCGTGCGCTGTGTGTTGTGCATATATGCAGCACGACGCACGCCTCTTCATCCACCAGACAGCTCACACACACACATACGCGGCGCGTGTGGCTTTGAGTCTTCCGCCGCCTTGGCGCGTCTTGCTCCGCCATCCCCTCCTCTCCCCCTCCTCCCTCTCCGTCGCTCAGTTCCCTCTCCCCCCCCCTCTCTCTCTCTCTCCTTTCATCTACTTCACACCATGCATGCTTCACGCTCTTCACCCCATGTGTTTGTGTGTGTATGTGTTCTCGCATGCGTGCGTGTGTCTGTATGTCTGTGTGCCTATGTGCATGTGTGCGTGTGTGCGCGCGCGTGTGTGTATGTGTGCGTGTGTGTGTGTGTGTGTGTGCGCGCATTTCCCGGCGCGAGCATGCGTCCCACCCTCCCTTCTTCGCGCGCGCGCGCGGGGCCGGCAGGGGGGAACACATGTGCCCCCTTTCCTCGCCCCCATGGTCGTGCCATACCCATATTCACACCCATTTTAGCCACTATGCGCGCGCGCGCGGGGCACAGCTCTTTCAGTGAATCAGCGCTGGCGCTCACGCATGCACACCCTCCTCTTTCCTCTTTACACATCTCCCTCCTTCCTCCCACCCATCCCCTTTCTCCTGCCTCCTTCCCTTCCCTTTGCGGGTCGCGCGCATTAAGCCGTGGCCTTATTCCCTCCTCCCCTCACAAAACAACACAAAGCACTCCCTTCCCCCTTGTTGTCAGGGTCTTCCTTCGCGCTCGCTCCTCCTCTGCCTTCTTCTCTTTCCCTGGTGGGTGACGCATCCGGTAGCCGGCAACAGTCGCACAAGGGGGCGGTATATGCGGGCAGGAGGGTGGCAACCTCTCCATCTGCGACGTGTGGTTGTCTTTCTTTGCTGCCGGGGGGGGGAGTGGGTTGGTGCCCGGTTCGGGCTGCTCTCGTGGTGTTCCTCCCCCCCCCCCCTTCAGAGCAACTGAGGTGTCCCCTCGCTTGTGCGGGCAGACTTGCGGGCAGGAGCTGGGGGGGAGGGGGGGGGGGGGAGGTTCTCGTGATGCCCCTGGTTTCCTTTGCTCGAGGAACGGACCCCTGAAGCATCTCCGGTGAGGGACCGGAGACGGGGCAGCAAGGGAAAAGGGGAAGAGGCAGCGACGCCAGGGCTGTGAAAAGGAAGCCGTGAAGTTCAAACTGCGAGCGAGAGAGAGAGAGAGAGAGAGAGAGAGAGAGAGAGAGAGAGAGGCCAGCAGGGCTTCAGCAAGGGACAGGAGCGTATCTATCCACTGGATGCCAATCCCCGCTCCCCGAGCAGATGCCCTCCATCCCACGAGTCCGGTGTCGCCCAGAACATCACGAAGGCCGACCGCCATGGTTGCGCCAAGGAGCAGGGGGGTCGGGCTAGCACGCGCGCCCGTTCGCGTCGGTCCAGCGCCAAAACCCCGCTTTTCGAGAACGAAGCGCACACGACACCAGCCCCCGCGGATCGCGCACGCCGGAAAAGCGCATGCCTATCTTTCAACACCCCCACCCGCCGCCCTGCGCCGTCCCGAGTGAGGCCCCCTCTCCCCGGGCCCCTCGCCCGAGGGCGAGCCACTGCACCACCACACCACCGTCCGACGGGCAACATACAGAAGAGAGGAGTATATTTTCTATCTTTCTCCCTCTTTGTGGCTTTCGCTCTCTCGTCACTTTGAGTCCGTTTGTGAGGCCCACCCCCCACTGACTTTCACCCCTTCCCCCCGCTGCTCCGGTCGAGGGGGGAGGGGGGGGATGGGGGCGGGCGGGGGCCACGGTCATGAAAACTTGGACGGCTCTCTCAATGGGATCACACACCATCCCGGGGGCGGCGGAAAGGAACACGGTCCCCTCTCTGCCTCCCAGACACACACACACACACACACACACACACACACACACGCCCGAATAGCGGGAATAGGGCTCAGGCCTGGGCTCGGAGCGGATTAGGGGGGGGGCCTTGCCCTTCGCACAGCGACGGGCGAGGAGGAGGGAACCATTCGCGACGGGGGAGGACACTGCCCCCCCCCCGCTTGCCAGGACGGCTCCCATTGGCACACACACACACACACATACACACCGGGAAGCTGGGCCACCGGTGGGGAATGGGTGAAGGTGCCCCACCCCCTCCCCTAAAAAAGCGCGTGTGTATGCGCGCACACCACAGTTGCTGCTACACATGCAGCAGGCACGGGCCAAGGTGGGACGGTGACGGGGGCGCGGGCAGGCGAGGGAACCGGCGTGAGGTGCAAGGTGTCTCGCCTCGTGCGGCCAGCGCGCGGGGCAACACACTATATTCGAGCACCCCCCCCTTGGGGCCTCCCTCCCCTGCTGCATAGGGGCAGGCAGAGAGCGCGGTACTGGGCCCGGGGCATGAGGCTCCTGGACCCCTCCAAGGAGGTACCTTTCATCCGCGCCGTGTCCACACTGTCTCCGCCCCCTCCCCCCCCGTCCCTCTCTCTGCCGGACGCTTTCTCGACACGCAGCGGGATGAGAGGGCGGAGAATTTTGCTCTCCCTGGGGATCCCCTGCCGGCGTCGAGACTCCTGAAAGCGCCAGAGCCCAACAAGCATGTGGCACCCGCCCAGCCCCCCCCCCCCGGGTGCCGGAAGGGTGCACGCACAGACACAAATACTCACAGGTGAGCGTGGGCCAAAGCATACGGATGGAGGATGGGGCAACGATAAAAGCCGACTCGAAACCAGGCAGACACACACACACACACATACACACACATCTTGCAAGCAACGCTACCACCTAAGATCCTTACGCACACGGAGGAATCCCTTGGCACCAGACCGATTGCTTCCTCCCATTCTCACTCGTGGCGGCCTCTCCAGAGCGCGCGAGAGAGAGAGAGAGAAAGGAAGGCCGGACGCCGCCGGCGCCGGGCTCAATAGTTGTACGAAACGACGGCTTTCATAAACGTGAACATTTTAGTTAGATGCTTAATCGAATTCCAGAGATCGGGGTGGTGTGATTTCAGTGGTATGATCAGAAGAATCGGCCCATTTTCAATCAGGGACTTTGCGATGCCGGTCTGCAATTCCGCCGGGTGTGGTGATTGCGTGAACAATTCCAAAGGAATAGCGCGCAGGTC